GGGAAAGGGAGAGTGAGTTAAAAACCCCCTACTGGGGATCAAGCCTGCAACGCAAGCATATGCCGTGACCAGAAATTGAAGGGTGACCTCCTGATTCATAGGTTGACACTCAACCACTGAGCCACACTGGCTGGGCACTGACCACCTTCTTTTGATTCCCATCTTTTCTTCAATCAAAGCAGAAGAGGGATAGGATTGTTTTAATGGTGGTGAAAAGACAAGTTTGGGATATACAGTCATAGAAAATAGGGAAATCACATCATCCTATAGAAGAGGGGCAAGTCGTATTATTGACAATTGACAAAGGTGACAGGGCCCGGGTACAAAATGAGAACATTTGCTAATGCTTCTTCCTATCACTAAACATCTGGTAGAAGCAATGCTAAACTTCTAACAGCTTTAATTTTCATTATATGTACAGGGCTATCCTAGATATCAGCCTAAAGTCATTCATAATTTCTTGACAGACTATGAAAGAGTTCCAGAATTAAGAGGGCCTTATTTCACTGCTTGCTGCACATAATGGACAGAGTTCTTTATGTGTGCCCTTTAGACAAAGGAAAAAGTCAGCAAGCATGTGTTGACTGTCAAAAATGTAACTAGCACAATATGCATAACCCATGGGCGCAGACAATAGTGTGGTCACTGGGGGAAAAGAGGGACATCTGTAATACTTTCAACAATAAAGATAAATAAATAAAATAATGTAACCAGCACAGTGTTAAACATTAAATAGGATGCAGAGAAGCCAAAGAATGGTCCCGCCAATCGAGGGTCTTGTATTTCTACTTTATGTCCCTGTTGACTTTTGTTCTGATGTTTGGTTTGGGATTTGGTGAATGTTTCTCTTCTGGTTGTAATGTTTACTTGGTGGTAGACATGGCTTATGGGTGTGCTTTATGGGGTGCTTGCACCTGTAACTCAGAGGTCAGTACTTTTCTTAGAAGAACACAAAAGAAATTAATTCAAAACAGTCAAAGCGATTTCACATATGGGCAGTGGTTCAACCTCAGATTGCATGGACTACAGTGAGGGCCCTGTGTTTGCCCAGGCAAGCGTTTCCTGGCGTTTCAGCACAGTGATGAGAATCCTCATCCACAGATGAGATCAAAACCCTAATAATAGAGTAAAATGGGAACTTTAATTTAATGTTCTTTAGGAGGGACTAACGTATTTCCTTTTATACATTTGATCTGAGTTACTTGAGCAAGTTATACTAGATGAACTTCTTCCTCTTTTGTGGTTACGATCATACCACTTCTTGACACACAACTGGGTGCTCTTGATTGCTCATGGGAACACTGGGATTCAAACATTACTCTTCCTCTGTGACTGTGTACTCTGGTTTTCCTTGGTGACTGGAAGCAATGTTACCATTGGGTCAGGATGATCTGGGATAGACATAGTTTTGGCTCAGGCTTCATGTTTGGCACATTATCTTTGTTGATTATAGAAAAAAAAACACACACAAAGGCTCTTAACAGCCAACTAGTAAAACAGAATTCTGTTGTATGTTTTTATCAATCAGATGAAAATGTTATGCACAAGCCTTGGTATTCTTACACTCTCACCTGTCTAACACTATATATAGCAAGATCCTCTCTGTCAGCAAAATAACAGGATTTGTTTTATGGCTTCAAATTAATGCTGGATTCATCCCTCATTGAAACAGAGCAGAGTCATACTCAGAGCTTCTCTACATCACATGGAGGCTTCGAAGAAGATAAAGACCAGCCAATGATGTCCACTCCAACATCTAGCAGTAAGGATGGCTTCAGTTATGGGTGTCTTTGCACAGTGTCTTTGGTGGAGGTGCATTCATTGGCTGTTGTGCTGTTACTTCTGATCAGAAGGTGTGCTGGTGATGGGCCTGTGGTTTTTCTGCTTTGAAGACTTTTTAGAAGCCATTGTACATGAAATGCAACTATATGTCTTAATCTTAAAGGTCAGGTTTCTTAAATTCTAGATTTAGATGGCTTATTTGTGATTTATAATTGGTATAAAGATCTGAATTATATTACTTTCTATTTCCCTCGCATTAATTATAATATTTTGCCATTTATACTCTGGACCATGGAGTGAGTGATTAAGAAGCAGTGCCTTCTGGAAAAGGAAAAAATAAAGCCTCAGGCCTGGGAATCCTTGCATTGGCTATTCCAATCACAGACAGCATATTTACCTTTTAATTCAAAGATAAGCTTCCTCCACTTCATTATAGGTGGGTCCAATTGAGTAAGAGCTCAAGATTATCTAGAACCTGAGTTGCCTTCAAGGTCACAGTTGTAGTGGCATAATCCTCACTTTAACAACCCAGGTAGATGTTACAACGAATGTCTTCTCTGGGTATTAGGATCACCAAAATCTCTTCCGTTGAGTGATGTCTAGGTGTTGTCAATTGCAAAATACAGATTCTGTGCAATAGTGTAGATCACACTATCTTTTGCTCTGTGTTCACAAATAACAAGTGGGAAGCTTTTGCAATAATTGCATGTTTTAAGGACAAGCACACGATGGGTGGTGGCCTTACAGATGTCGGTTCACCATAGACTCCACCTCTACACAGATAGGCATGATGGCGGAGGTGGACATCTTCCTGAAGACTCAGCTACTTCAGTGGGAGGTTATACTCCTCATTCCCCAGACACAAAGGAGTACACAACCCTCATCCCAGTGACCCCTGCTAACACTGAGTCCCCTGGAGTTACTGAAGTTACTGTTGACGGAGATTCCAACGTTAATGTTGATGGTCCCTTGCCAGGTAATGTAGAAAAACAACACATACTTTCATGTTATAGGGGATGTTTTCTGTGTAGGCTGTGATTAGGCTTATTTGTGACTTGGGAAGGGTTTTTAATCATGTCATCATTCTAGTGTAAGTAAACTTAGACTTAGTTGAGATTAAGAATGCTTTCATTTGCTGATGTCATTTCTATTTATTCTTGTGACTTGGTTGTTATGGCAGAATTTCTTTCTTTGCCTTGTTTCTGGTCTTGTGATATATTAAGTTGATCCATGTGAAATTGATAGTTTTGTAGGTCAAAGAAGTTAAATATTAGCTATTTTATTTGATTCAACTAATAACATGCTGCCTATTTAGTAAGGTTTTACCCAACATGTGAATAATTTCCATATACTAATACCTTGGCTCTGAATGTATTACCTCCTATTGGTGATGGATTGGTGAATTTTACTTTTAGTGAAGGGCTTGTGGATAAATCTCTAATTATGATGCACACTTAAAATTTTATGATAGAACCAACTATTAATGAATAGGCATATCTCTCTTGTTGTAGTGGCAAAGAGATGGCTGAAGATGACATTCATTTAAGTTGGACATGGACCCAGAATGAGATTTGTTTTCTCAAACAGTCCTCCTTACTTCTGCTTTTTGTTTGTTTCTCCATTTGCGTTAAAAAACTGACATTGTAGAAAAAGGAACTGGAAAATACCTACTCTGGCTAAGAAACTAAAATCCTCTCCTTCTGGTTATTCAAGTACTTCTTACCACTAAGGCCTATTAAAGATTAGTGATTTTAAACATGCAGTAGTCCCCCCTTGATCCAGGGTTTTGCTCTCCATGGCTTCAGTTACCCATGGTCAACCGTGGTCTGAAAATATCAAGTGGACAATTCCAGAAATAATTCATATGCTTTATATTGTGTGCTATTCATAGTAGTTTGATGAAATCTCATGCCGTCCTGCTCTGTCTCCACCTGTGAATCGTCGCTTTGTCCCGTGTATCCACACTATACATGCTACCCACCCTTTTTTAGCCACTTAATAGCCATCTCCATAATCAGGTAGACTGTCATGTCATTGCAGTGCTTGTGTTCAAGTCACCCTTATTTTACTCCCTAACGCCACATTCACATAACTTTTATTATAGTATATTGTTGTAATTGTTCTATTTCATTATTGTTGTTGTCAAAATTCTTAGTGTGCCTAATTTATAAATTAAACTTTATCATAGGTTTGTATGTATAGGAAAAAAATGGCATATATAGGGTTCAGTACTATCCACACTTTTCAGGCATCCACTGGGGGTCTTAGAACGTATTCCCAGTAGATAAGGAGGAACGACTGTAATTTTTTTTTTTTTTTTGTAGTGTAAGTTCTTTCCCTCCCCTCCCCAAAGAAGAATAAATCTTATGAGAACTCAATATATAAAACAGATGACTGCTGTGGTGACAGAAAACCAGAATGTCACTTGCATGGCCTCTTTCCTCGGCTGCCCATCCCAAAGATAAGGAGGGACTACTGATAAAGTTTAATTTATAAAAATTAGGCACAGTATGAAATGAACAATAATTAATAATGAAATGGAATTACAACAATATGTAATAATGAAAGTTATGTGAATGTGGCATCTATAATAATAAAAGTGTAATATGCTAATTAGATCGGATGACCTTCTGGACGAAGCTGGGGCTGCAAGGGAAGCCCGGGTCCTGGGTGCCAGAGGGAAGCTGGTGCCAGCAGCCGGTGGAAGGAAGGCTTACTCTTGCACGAATTTCGTGGGTCGGACCTCTAGTTAGTAAATAAAATAAGGATTACTTGAACACAAGGGTTACTTGAACACAAGCTTCAAGGAAAATAGTCTTAGAAAAAACCTTGGCAATATTGGCAAGACAGAACCCCTCACACCCTTTGGTTCTTTGTTCAACATGGTTCTACCCTCAATCATTAAAATTTCCAAGTATCATTTTAAGTATTTTTCTGTAGAAGTGAACCTTAGAGCATTGCCTAAGTTTTCTTAGCAAAATGAGGCCTGTCATGCAACATAATGAATTTAAATTTTAAGTGGCAATTTAAATAGTTACTGTAGCCTAGAAAGATTACATAGATTATTGTTAGTAAATAAAATGCTTTCTACAAAATTGATATCCATGTACTCTCATTTCTTCTATATTCCATGGTGGTGCCAACAGATTTCCATGGTTCTCCATGGATTAAATGATTAATAAGGGATCCAACTCTCATTTTTTGTTTTCTTTCAAAATTCAAAAAGTGCTCATTTCTTCCAATTTTTCTCAGTCTTTATGCTTAACCTTAAGAATTAAAACATTTGAAATTGTGGTGATGGTGTTGTTGTTGTTGGGGGTGGTGGTGGTGATGATGTTGGTGATGGTGATGGTGGTGATGGTGGTGGTGGTAGTGATGGTGGTGGTGGTGGTGGAGGTAGTGATGGTGATGGTGGTAGTGATTTTGAGGGTGTTGGTCCTGGCATTTCAGCAAATTCTGTTTTTCATTATTCTAATCATGAGCCAAGGAACAAAGCAATGTGTTTCCTCTATACAAGTACACAAGCGATTACAGGTCACCTACCTCCACCTTATGGGAAATGGTGGGGATCAGACTATGGCATTTTCCTTATAGGTACCTTCATAATGGGTAACTATAGTCATTTTATGAAGCCATTGTCCTTTTTTGTTTTGTTTTAAGATTCCAGTATAGTTTTGGAAAATGTGTGGGGAGGAGGAGGAGGAGGAAGAAGGGTAAGAGTTTCCATATGCTAAATCCAAGATCTGACCTGGGGATCCAGAGTTTAGCAATTCAAAAGCCTTTTGGTGATGGATATTTGAGAAGATGAATTATATTAACTCTTGGTGTTGAAAATGCAGATTTCATTTTTGAAAAATATTACAATTTGAAACATATTCTAATAACCAGGAATACATTAGTCACATGTTAGCTATCATCTCCCCCTTTCCTTTTCACTTATTTTCAGACATTTTCTTTAAATAAGCAGTTGACTTCTTTCTTTGAATTTAACCCCAAGATCTTGTATGCATACCAAAACCCTTTTCTATTTCCTGCCTCGGAGAATACTCTTTAAATGTCTCATGACCTAAGCCACAGAGTACATGCATTCCCAGTGATCACATTTGTCATCCTTCAAAACATAGAGTCCCTATTTCAAAGAAACAGTATCAAATCCCAACCTCAGACCTGTGAACACATCATGATCATTTTGTTCACATGTTACAGTTATTGGGTTTCTACCAAAGCCACACTTCCTCTGGTCATCCTGATGGTCTATGCTGGACCAGATTTCCTAATTTTGATGAAATCTCCAGCCCACTGATCAGTGGATTAAGAAATGAATAGAAATTAACAAAACCCTTTTCTATTTCCTGCCTCGGAGAATACTCTTTAAATGTCTCATGACCTAAGCCACAGAATACATGCATTCCCGGTGATCACATTTGTCATCATTCAAAACATAGAGTCCCTATTTCAAAGAAATAGTATCAAATCCCAACCTCAGACCTGTGAACACATCATGATAATTTTGTTCATGTGTTACAGTTATTGGGTTTCTACCACAGCCACACTTCCTCTGGTCATCCTGATGGTCTATGCTGGACCAGATTTCCTAATTTTGATGAAATCTCCAGCCCACTGATCAGTGGATTAAGAAATGAATAGAAATTAATATTGTGGAGCCATTCACGGCTCCTTTGCTTACCTTTAAAAGACTAAGCTTTGTGATAAAAGCAAAGGGCATGAAAAGGCAGACGTGAGGAAATGCAGATGGAAGTGTAACCAGAACACACCATACTGAACCTTCTCTGATTGTTCCTTACAGAAGATGGAGACTCATCTTCCGACCCCAGGGACCATACCACTCAAAGATCTGGACCAACTGGTGAGTTTGAGCTGCGTTAGTCATTTACTCTCGTCATCATTGAACCTGCTGATTATTAATGAATAATGTTTGAGTCACTGTCTCTCAAAGAGTGGTTCTCAAACTCTCTTAGCATGCGTCACCATTGCGGGAAGGGCTTATTAAACCCCACTGCTGGGCCCCATCCTTATAGTTTCTGATCCTGCATGTCTGGGGTAGAGCCTGAGCACGTGCACTTTTACTAAGTCCCCCGGTGACGCTGGTAAGGCTGGAGCAGGGACTGTGCTTTGAGAACGACTGCTTTGGAGAAAATTCTTCCATCTGACAGGATCAGGGAGAACCTAAGCAGGGTCTCAAGGTAACGTTTCATGACATCAGAGTGGTTAAAAACCTGGGTTTTGGAATAAGAAAGGTTTGCTCCCAGCTCCTCCACATACAAACTGGGGATGTTGCTGAAAGGATCTGAGACTCAATTTCCTAACCAATAAAATAATAATAATAATTGTCATCAAGTCTGGTTTAAAAGACTAAATCAGTGGTTCTCAACCTTCTGGCCCTTTAAATACAGTTCCTCATGTTGTGACCCAACCATAAAATTATTTTCGTTGCTACTTCATAACTGTAATGTTGCTACTGTTATGAATCGTCATGTAAATACCTGATATGCAGGATGGTCTTAGGCGACCCCTGTGAAAGGGCCGTTTGACTGCCAAAGGGGTCGCGACCCACAGGTTGAGAACCGCTGGACTAAATGATAGCATACACTGAAGCATTTGGTCTGGCCCCCAGCACATGGCATAACAGCTAGCATTTCATCAGAATTCATTGTGTAGTAGGATGAACCCTATCAAACTGCCATTTCTGTAGGTCAATAGTCATATATGAAACTAAACATATTTTCTATGTTTCATCTATTATTAACTCACTTGCTCATCCTACATACCCTGTGGCCCACATAAGAAGTACTAGTATCCCACTATTACAGAGGACACCGAGACTCAGAGCCGCTAAGTAACTTAGCTGAGTTGCCATGACTAGTGAGTTGAGTGGTGGAGTCACGTTTCAAAGCCAGGGGTCTCCTCTTGCCTCTCACAAGCACAGTCTAGAGCAGTGATGGCGAACCTATGACACGCATGTCAGAAGTGACACGCAAACTCATTTTTTGGGTTGATTTTTCTTTGTTAAATGGCATTAAAATATATAAAATAAATATCAAAAAAATACATCTTTGTTTTACTATGGTTGCAAATATCAAAAAATTTCTATATGTGACATGGCACCAGAGTTAAGTTAGGGTTTTTCAAAATGCTGACACGCCGAGCTCAAAAGGTTCGCCATCACTGGTCTAGAGAAAGCAACCTGTGGTGACCATAATTGCCACCCGGCATGCATCAGTCAATGGATTCCTTTTCGCTGTGACTCAGAGAACACTCCTGGAAACGTTACTCCAAGCAGCAAAAGTCTGCCCCGAAGCAGGTTTCCTGGTGACCAGTAGCGCTGGGGCCGCTGAAAGGCTGTGCTGGTGCTGTCTTACCGAGGTGACCCCAAGCATCGGCGGTCCAGGCCCCCCATGCCAAGTGAGGTCATCCTTATAAAGCTACTGTCCTCCCCTTCATGCTTACATTGGAAGTAGAGTTGCCTCCAGGCTTACAGGCTCGCACACTTAAAGCTCAATGAAGATGGACATTTCCATGGTGGTTTTAGTAATAACCTTTTACCTACGGGGACAGGGATGTAGTGGGCTCATCAGAAATGCTTCTAAAGTAAGGACCGAAGTCCAAGGCTCTCTGGAGCGCTGGGGTGGGGCAGTCAACCTTTCCCAACCTCAGTCTCCTTATTAGAAAAAAAGAGTTACCTCCTGGAGTTCTTGTGAAGAACACGAGGCATCAGGAATTTGAAAGTAACTTAGAAACAACAGGGAGCTGATACTAAAAGGCATGCTTTCTAAAATCAAGAGACTCTAACAATTCCAAGTGCGGTCCATACACCAGCAGCAGACACACCACCTAGGAGCTGGTCGGAAACGCAGAATCCCCCAGCCATCCCGGACCTACTGACTCAAGATCCTCCCCTCTAAAATCAAGAGACTCCAACAACTCCAAGTGCGGTCCATACACCGGCAGCAGACACACCACCTAGGAGCTGGTCAGAAACGCAGAATCCCCAGCCATCCCGGACCTACTGACTCAAGATCCTCCCGCTCCACCTATTTTAGGCTTGAGAAGCACTGCCTTAGACTGTTTTTCTCACAGTTAAGGCCGGTCGAATTATCTCTGTGCACACATCTCAGATTGGATCTCATCTCCAACTGCAGTATCAGTGTTCCTCTTTGCAGAGCTTGCCTTCCGCGCGAGCCCTTCCCTAGCCGCATTTGCAGACCTCTGGGGCGCAAGGCGAGACCTGCTCTATCTAGTCCATCTTCTTGGCTTTTGCTTGAAGTGGGCGGGAGCGGCCTCTTTTGTTTGACTTCTGTGCAGGTGTCTATTGTTCAAACAGGCGGTTCCATCTGGCTGTATACACACACCCAGATCTTTCCTTGCTGGGAGCACTTTTTTGGAAAATAGACATAAAGGGATTATGATCCCCTCATGGCCTCCTTTCAAATAGCAGAGGCTGTTGTAAATCAGGGGAAGACCAGTAAGGGTGACTGCACCTCTGAGGTGGTTTTCAAGGCCAATGATCTCCAGTTTAGATGGCCAGTACCCCCTGACCTGTGCAGGTGGACACTGGCCAGTGACCACAGACTCTGGGAGGCAACTGGAGAAAGTGTCTTGGCTCTTTCTGAGGTTTGTCAAGTGAGAAGCCACTGTCACCATGGCATGCGGTATGTTGAAATGGCCAGACATACGGTAAAACTCGAGTTTAACAAAAATGTGAGATTGCGTAAGCAAGAGCCAACCTATTTAAAATAACCACCATAATCAGACTGTGCACAGTCTGAAGTTTGACTCTTTTAGGAGAGCTTGTCACTATAAGCCCAGCCATCTTCATTCATTGGCTGCCCACACAGACTTCCCTGTTTTGTTTTTTATCCCTTGGAGGCCTTCAGGATTCAGCAGTGGAATCCCACTTGGTAGGAGTTCATGTTAGTGGGATATTTTCGTTTTAGTGGGAGCAGTAAAGGAAGCATATAAAATACAAAGAGCCTGGCCAGCTTGGCTCAGTGGTTGAGAGTCGACCTATGAACCAGGAGGTCATGGTTTGATTCCTGGTCAGGGCACATGCCTGGGTTGCAGGCTCCATCCCCAGTAGGGGGCATGCAGGAAGCAGCTGATCAATGATTCTCTCTTATCATTGATGTTTCTCTCTCTCTTTCCCTCTTCCTTCCTCTCTGAAATCAGTTAAAAATATATATTTTTTAAAAAGGAAAACAAACAAAAAAAACACCCCCACACACAAAGAAAAAGCAGAGCTTATTCATTTGGGTGAGTCTCTCACAAAACGTCTTAGAGTTTCTTTTACAACATGACGCCTCTCTCATTTTGGTAAGCCTCCTGCTCCAACTTGTGGATTCTTTGTCTTGTGATGCTTCCTTTCAGTCTGAGATTTTTATTTGTTTTCTTCTTTTGTTTCCTAGCAGAAGAAACTGTTCATTCTTCAAATACAAAGCATGTTTCAATAATATATTGGCCTGCATCAAATGGAATGTTTCTGGGGAGAGTCTTGTAGCCCTTTATAAACGCCTGCACTTTGAGTGTATAGGGAGCTTTGCAGGACGCAGAGGCTGGCCCCATGTGCTGCTCTGTAAGCCTCCTTACGCCCTCCAAAGCTTGATTGACAGATGTTGTTTTTCCCCTTAGGACACTCCAGTGGGAGTCAAGAAGGTGGGGCCAACACGACCTCGGGTCCTATAAGGAAACCTCAAATTCCAGGTGAGTTTTGAGCTGTGAGGGGAAAAAAAAAATGATGCTAAAAGCAGGTCTCACTGAATGTCCCAGAAAGAAAGAAGCAACCAGTTTGAAAGCACATTTTCCTAAATGTCCAACCCTTGAAACTGATAGTTCCTCTTTGCAAGCTAAAGATGGATGACAGGAACAGATCGGAAAAGATGGAACGTTCTTTTATCCCAGGTCCCAAAGCAGGGCCACGTTAGGTCCGAAAGCTTCCTCCCCAAATGCAGGGCCGCTCAGGGGACTCCATGTCACACCCAGGTCCTGCTTATCATGGTTCAGTTTCCCCTTTCTTTCTGGGGTTGGGGATGACATGTGTAACATTCCTCTCACATTGCAGACAGGGTATTGGGTGGAGTGAAAACATTCTTCTGGTCCCCAAAGTGCTTTTTCTTGAGGGACAGTCTTCACTGATCCAGACAAAGTTTCAGAATGTGTTACGTGTGCAGTGAGGGGACGAGACAGCCGGCTCTCCTGAGTGTCAAGACTTAAGTCACTCGAAGCAAATGCTTTACTTGACTTGGGCTCAAAGTCAAGCATTTGTAAAGGGGGGTTAGGATTACAAAAAAGGAAGGGTTTTCCCAAGGTTGCATACTACCCCCCCTCTTCAGAGGTCTCCAAACTGAGCCTCCCGTGGGAAAGGGAAGAACGTGCTGTGGGCCCGGCCCCCTTGCCTCAGCTTGCCTGGGCACAGCTAGAGGCAGAGCACATGGAGAAGGCGTGGGCTGCCAGGGAAGACTTGATGGGTGGGATGAAATTTGCAATAATCAGGCAGCAGGATTTTCCCCAGCCCCAGTGAGAGGGAATGGGGGGCATCTCAGGGCTAGAGACCCAGGAAAGAAGAGAAGTGCTTCTCTCCTGAGGGTCTCCCCACCTCCTGATTCGACCCTGCTACCCAAGCTCACCTAACCAGGGAGAGGTCAGGCAAAGGCAGAGCTCCCTGAGCAGGAAATCAGAGGAGAACCAAGACTCCCAAAGGCGAATGGGCAGTGACTGACTGTCCATCTTTCTTGTTTCCCAAGCTGTAGTTCATTGCGCAGATACACAGCCCACTTGGCAGATGACTTTATTCAAGTTGTCCAGTCATATTTTAATACTTTAAAGCTTGATTTAAAAACATGTGTTTAACATGTTATGAGTCCATGAGTGATGCATTAATTATTGCAGACATTTTAGAAAATGCAACTAAACAAAAGGACAAAAATACCAATCAGTTATCGACCCCACCATCCAGAAGTGCCATGGTTACCATTTTCATAGATGACCTTCCTGTAATTTTCAATGTAATTTATATATAAACATGTAATTATAGCATACTTGCTTTGTTTAGCAAACTACCATTCTCAACTGGGGGGCCACAGCTTTCCAATGTCATTACATAATTTTCCCCACATTGTAGTATATTATATAATGAATGAACCCTAATTTATTCAACCAACTCCTATTGTTGGATATTGGGTTGTTTTCAACTTTTGCCATTATAAATGGCACAGTAATGAACATCTTCCTAGCTAATTCTAGGTCCTCTAAATTCCTGAAAGTGTAACTGCTGGATCGAAAGCATGTGCAGTTTGAAGGCTTTAGACAAGTTTTGCCAAATGACCCCCCTACTCCGCCCGTGAATGTGCACAAGTTCAACCGTCCATAGGACTGTCCTTTCTCCCACTCACTAGTATATGGCCTCCATTTTTGCTTCTAATCAATGTAAAGTGGGTGCTCTTACCTAAAAAAGGAAAGTTCCTTTTAAGGGAAGAATACATTTCCTTCGTCTGGTTAATAACTACACCCAGGGCATCTACAAGTTTCAACAGGTCCTTCTACATTTTTTTGGAAACATATTTCTCCTGGAGGGACTTGGGAATCCTGACTGATGGTGAGAGATTAACACAAGAGGCCGGTTGGACAAACAGCTGTAGCAAAATCTCTCTTCTCCTATTACCTGCCTACTGGCTGGGCCATTTGGTCGAATTTATCTGTAGTGCTGACCGTGGTTCTTGTTTGGGCCAAGTCAGTTTTATAAAGTGCATGTTTATTTTCACAAAGTGTATTTCCCAAGGTCACGGGTATCTTTTTCTTCACTCCCACCAGAGTGGCTGATCATCTTGGCGTCCCTCCTGGCCCTGGCTTTGATCCTCGCAGTTTGCATCGCGGTCAACAGCCGAAGAAGGTAAGGGGATGCTCCACAGAACCTTCGACTTGGAAGGGCATCATTGAAACGTGGGCTCTATGTCCTTGCTGCTCAGAGCGTAGCCCTTGCAACCAGCAGCTCAGCACCCTGGGGGCTTGTTAGAAATGCAGAACCTCAGGCCCCACCCAGACCTCCTGTGTCAGAGTCTGTTTGGACAAGGCCTCAGGCATTCATGCACACGGTACAGGAGAAGAAGCCCTGCTCTGGGACATAATTACCTGAACCTCCCCTTCTAAATAGTGGTTGAATCTCTTGGGGATCTTAATTGTTATTTTTTTAAAAATATTTTTAATTGATTTCACAGAGGAAGGGAGAGGGAGAGAGAGATAGAAACATCATGATGAGAGAGAATCATTGATCGGCTGTCTCCTGCATGTCCCACACTGGGGATTGAGCTGGAAACCGGGCATGTGCCCTGACCGGGAATTGAACCGTGACCTCCTGGCTCATAGGTCGATGCTCAACCACTGAGCCAGCTGGCCGGGCGATCTTACTTATTTTGAGATTAAATCCCATGGAGACTCTATCTGATGAAAATTATGAAATACCTCACCAAAAAGTCATAAAACTATATATTGATTTATTGATTTATAAAACCAAATATTTATTAAGTGCATTCACAATGCACAAAAACACCATATAAAGATTCAGGGATTGGTTATCTCCTATCTGATGCCCATGGAGCTTTCTAGAACCCTTACTTAAAACAGGCATTGAGTCTGTGTGTTAATTTTGTAAGGACGCTGTTTTCTATTTTGTGGACACAGCAGTTGAAAGGATTCAGATCTTGGCCTCGGAGAGCTCCCTGGCAGTGTGGTCTATGAAATAATGAAGAACTCCCTGTAGGAAAGTCTGAATAAAGACAGACAAGTCCCTAGAACTGACATGGGGGCTGTTTTCATCAACGGTTCCCCTCCCTCGATCCCTCAACCAAGGCCGATTATTTCAGCAGCTATTTAAACAACATATATTCCTGGGTGAGCTGTGACCAGGCTCCAGAAATAAAGCCACTTCAAGTGAAATGAAGGAAAATAGTCATTCTAGCAACAGAAGAAATGAACTTAGACAAGGATACTCCACAAATACGAGTCTCAATTTCCTGTTTAAGACACTTTCAAGATGCGTTTTTGCTCCGAGCATATGCTCGGGAACATTAAACCTTCTGGAAATGTCTCTTGAGAGTTCTTTAAGATAAAATAATCTTATTTCCAAGCAAGGGTCCCCTTTATTGTATCACTGAATCATCTAACAGGCCAGAAAAATGCCCCCGGGGTTGGGAGAAGACCTGGCTAAAATGATCGAATCCTTCTCATTGGCTTTTGGAAAACAGCAAATACCTAATTCCACTGCTGTAGGGGCCCAGGAAGTATCTCTAATTATCCGAGGAAATTAAATAATGCCGTCTGACGCTGGTACCAGTTAATAAAAGTGCTCTATTAAAGTCGAAGAGCTGTGTTGCTCTCTGTACCTTTGAGGGCGTGATAAAAATAGTCGTGACAGTTGATTGTATAGGGAACAAAAACTAGGAAAGGAAATCTGAAAGCCCTCCTGGAAGTCTGACTAAACGGAAAGAGACTTATTTTTAGTTGAATTTAAATAATGTGACTTGAGGGACCCCTTACAAAGAGTCTTTATACTTTCCCTCAGCGTCCTTGTTTTCTCTAGCGTTACTTTTGCTCAGTTAAATGTGAATTTCCTATTGTTGGAAATCAGTCCTTTGCCCCAAGCCTTAGAATGCACGGCCACTGCTCACAGGTACAGTCCATGAGCTTTGCACGTCACCATGGAAACGTGGCCCCTGGTGCTGTCGATGGGGGAGACCTCAAAGAAGCATCTCAGCTGTCCCTGAGAGCAGCCGGAGCTCCCGCAGTGCAGCTGGTTAGCTCACACTTCGCTCCCCCATCATGTGAGCAGCAAGAAGGGCCCCATTGCACCCTCCCCCTCCTCCCAAGGCCAGCAGTCACCCTAGCAACGGGCAAACAGGGACACTTGGGATCCAGCACAGCACGTATCTCACCAGGAAAGTAGCTGCCTGGGCGCCGTAAATTACCATGTCCTGATCTGATAATCAAAAACAGATTTGCCAAGCAGCTAAAGAACGGTTATGGCTTCGCAGGCCCCTTCATGTGTGCTGTGTTTCTGAAGTCGCCAGCCTTCTTCTAATCCTCTTAAAGGCTGGGCCTTTCTGCTTTGAGCATTACATTTTAGGGAGACACAGAATCCTGTTTTCATCAAAGAAAGTTTGGTTGAAAGCAGGGAACTACAACAGGCATTTCTTTACTCGGCAGACATCTTTTGAGGGGCGGGCTATGACCGTCAACCCTGGCGAGGAGAAAGAGAAGATTAAAAACAAAAAGTATCATCCTTCCCCTAAAAGAATCTTGAGGTTCAGTGGCAACATTGGCCTGTTGGCTGGGACTCCGCTGACATGTATAGAGCACATACTCTGTGCCAGGCACTGTCATATGAATTATGGTTAAAATATAAAAATGGAAAAGCATTAGTCACTGAAGTTGATGTTCAAGGGTTGGCCACAGGTGTCCATGACAACGGCATCTGTGAGTCATGTCATCTTAAAGATGCTCATGTGGGGGTCCCGTTATTCCCTTAGCTCTTTCCATCCCCTTCATAACCCATATCACCTTTTCTTGCTGTTCTTGATGTAACCAGAGTCCCTGAATTGCAAATTACAATGAAAATTGTACTTTATTCACTGTCCTTAAGAGAAAACTATAGTTTTAGGAATCAGTTGGGTTATTATACAGTCATTGAGGCTTAAGGGAAGAAGTTAGGTGCCTTTCCCTTACAGAATGTATCCGATTTGTACAAAGAGGAGAAAAATGATGACCAGAAAAGGCTTCACCAAACAGGAATGATTCAGGAACGTTTCTACACCGACTGCAGAAAAGGCCTTCACCAGATTTCACTCTCAAGGAGATAATCCTCTTTCCTGTAGACCCCAGTGGGCCGCCACCACCCCCTGTGTGGCCGGTCCTGCCTTCCCTTAAACTGCAGCCTGGCTCCCTAATCCCTGCTCGCCGACCTTGTTCCACCCTGGAGAACACAGCCGCCCCACAGAGCTTTCTATGATGACGGAAAGATTCTACATCTGTCCTGCCAGATCCACAACCACAAATCCTGGGGGCGACTGAGCATTCCACATGTGGCTAGTGCCACTTAAAGCGAATTTTAAATTTTTATTTATTTTAATTAGTTTAAATTTCAATAGCCACATGTGGCTAGTGGCCCAGCTCTAACACAAAGCACAATACAGCTCTAAAATAGCTTTAAGGATTGTCAGATAGAAGAGACATAAGGTCGGTTGTTAAATTACCCCCTAAAGAAATTCCTCTGTGCCCTAAATGTCCGTGCCCCCCGCCACCCCGCGCTCACCCCATCACCCAGCCTGCCCACCCTGTCCTGGCAAGGCTCTAGCCTGGGTCTTTCCACATCATGTGGTCACTGTGTGCACAGCTAATGAAAGGATTTCAAGGCAAGGTGGAGTTTGGTGGAGATCTCTGACCTTTGGACCATCATTCGGCCATAGCTGGCGATGCCATCTCAGATGACAGCCTTGACTTCTGGGATCAGTCTCCAGTTTACACAATGAAAAGGCTGGGCTGGATGACCTCCCAGTCCCTTCAGTGCTGATGTTCCTGTTAAAATTTCTCCAAGAAGAATGAAAAAATTCGGACTTGAATTTTTAAAGTGCTTATGTAGATGCCTGGAGCACAGCATACTGGGCTGGGTTATTTATGAGAATCCTCCTGCCCTCCTGAAAGAACTCAGGCAGGTAACAGAGACACGTAAATCCACAGGGAAACGTGGGCAGGACAAGGCCCAAGCCCTACAGGTCAGATGGCCTCCACTTTCAACACCAGCTTTGTCTGCGTGAAGAACATGAAACCCCACTTCACCCCCATGCCCAAGCTTTTTATGCTTATAAATCACTTTCCTGCAGTATTTCATTCAACTTCTCAAGCACCCGTTACTTTAATGAGACGCCTCTCTTTCAAAGAACACCGGAAATACCGCCTGAGAATCTAGAATAGCATGAGCAGCGTTCCATCTTCAGCCTCTTAAGTCACCTTCATGGTAAATGTAACAAGGTGGCGGAGGCAACCAGAGAAGCAAGCAAAACCCATCTTCTGTGGTGCTCATTATATTGACAATCACAGCCAGTGATTCTTAAAAAAAAAAAAAATTGATTGTAGAGAGAAAACGAGGGAGAGAAACATCAAACATCGATATGAGAGAGGAATATCAATCAGCTGCCTCCTGCACGCCCCCTACTGGGGATCGAGCCCACAACCTGGGCATGTGCCCTGACTGGGGATGGAACCCTAGACCTTTTGGTGCACAGGCCGATGCCCAACCAACTGCGCCACACCAACCAGGGCACAGCCAGTGATTCTTGAACATCTACTGTGTTCCAGATACTGCTCCAAGTGCTTGCTTATCCAATGCTTTGGTTTCCTCACCCACAATGTTTGTAAAAGCAGCAAATAAAACACCCATAGGCTCATGTTTGCAGGGCCAGGCTCTGTTTGAGGGCTTTCCACACCTTGTGAAGGTGGTACTCTTACTAGTCTGATGTTACAGAGAAGCAAGCTGAGGTTCAGAGAGTAAGTGAGTTGCCCCAGGTCACACGGCAGTCAAATCTCAACACCACGCCTCCCGAGCCCTGTTCTTGTGTATGTGGGCAGCACCCATACTCCCAGTCCCACGGGTCTGCAGCACTGGTCAAGCATCCTTCCGCTGCCCTCATCAAACATCCGGCCAGAGGAGACAGTATCTAACTCCTATAGAGGAGGTATAATTTCTATTTCCCCAAACAAGAGATTAAAGTTTATGGCCTTGGCAGTCCTAGCAGGAATGGCTCACAATCATGAATAATAGAGGCTTTGTCTGGCAACTCCAAATATCCAGCGGCGAAGTGAACAATTCCGACTTCATACTGTTTCCCCGTCTCCAGATGGTTGGCAGCATGAAGAGAGCTGGGCCGAGTCCAGGCTTTGGGTCATAAAGGCCTGGGGTTGAACATTGACTCTGTCTTACGAGTTGTGTGATCTCAAGTTGGTTATTAAACTCCCTGGGCCTCAGTTTCCACTGACATATAATGGGAATAAGAGCAGCATTGTGGGGTTATTGTGAGGATTACATGAAGTTACAAGTGAAGTGCCTGGCACTCAGGAGGTGTCCAATAAATGCTGGCTCATTGCCCCCTCCCCCCACTCCACCTGTAGTTGTGAGGATCTGCAATTGTGTCTTCATGAAGCAGTCTGACTTTTAGATGTGCAGCAGCGATAGTGTTACAGGAAAGAGGAAGCATTGTGTCAGGCTGCGTGGGGTGAGGCGGTGCTATGACAATTCTGTGACACAGGGACAAGATCAAGGTCATGCTCTTCCATAGAAAACCTTTGGCATTTGAATCTTAAGAAATGTTAGTAGTGAGAAACCTTAAAGTAGCTGAACTTTTTGCCTTGTGTAGCTCAACCGCCTATAACCAGGGTTATATGGAAGGTAACCAATGTTCTGGAAAAAGCAATACGGCCTATAGTTCTAGAAAAATGTTGTTTCATTCTTCTCAGTACATGCAGTAATAACCCCGACAAGGCCAACACAGTGTTGACTGTGAGAGGAAGTAATGGGACTTTTTTTTAATTATTGACAGTATTATAGATATCCCCCGTTTCCCCCCTCCCCTG